AGCATCTCTTCAAGGTGCTGGTGATCGGGGAGCTGGGCGTGGGTAAAACCAGCATTATCAAGCGATACGTGCACCAGCTCTTCTCCCAGCACTACCGGGCCACCATCGGGGTGGATTTCGCGCTCAAAGTCATCAACTGGGACAGCAAGACGCTGGTGCGGCTGCAGCTCTGGGATATAGCAGGTAAGGGCCGGGGGGCGGGCGTCACTCTGCAGGGTGAGCCCTGAGGGGGCAAAGGCCTGTGAGCCCGCCTGTCTGGGGTCCTGGCGCCCGGCCTCTGCAGGCGAAAGTGTATTTTGGCCCTGAAGTCTGTCGTCTTGGTTTTTCCTCCTTCCCCCTGTTACCTGCGACCCTTCTTGTCCCCGTTGGAGGTGTAAGTAGAGGGAGGTGTCGACGTGGGAGCCAAGTGTTTGACTTTTTATAGGCTGGTGTTGTGGGGCCCTTAGCTTGGCGCAGGGTTTTGCAGCAGCCCTCAAAAAGCTGCTTTGCCCTGCTTGCTGGCTGCAGGGCTCCCGGGGGGTTCCTGCTCATACTGCTCCTACTGACCCACTGGCCCAGGCGCTTGTGGCCTTGGCCATGAGTACTGCTGAAGTTGATTCATGGTTGTGGCTCCGTAGCGCTTCAAGGGGAAGTACGTACCTTTTCGAAGTAGGTTATGTTTAGTAAGCACTCCTGACAGGCTAAAGGTAACTCAAATAGCTATAATTGTCCTCAAAGGAAGTATGCTCCAACTCTACATGTTTGGAATCACCTACTTAATTTGAAAGTAACTTCTGTCCCTGCAATGTAGAGTGAGGGAATGAGACTTGTGTTACACTTAGTTCTACATTCAAATCATGGGTTTGTGTATCAAAAAGGTACTTTGAGCACATGGAAGCAGAAAAGCCTGTTTGCGTGCCCAAACTACGTATCATTCCTTTCCCATATATAATTCAAGAACTCTTCTTAAATACCTCTGTTCTAAAGATTCCAACTCTACACTTATCATGGCTAACTTTGCTTATGCTGCAGTGTTAAATGCCACAGAACAAACTCTGTTTTGCTGTGGTCTTGTAGGAAGTCTGTTCCCTGAACTCCTTACTCATCTCAAGTTGGTATTGCATTTCTAGTTCTGCATGCAGCCCACAACCTGCAGCTCTCTTCATCCCTCTCCACCATGTTCAGAACATCTTCTTGGATACAAAAAAGCAGACTATTTCAAATTTGTGCGTTTAAACTTATGCTACTGGAAGATACGAGGATAACAACGGGTACTGTTTCCATGAACTCTATGCTTTTATCAAGTGGAAGCTCAGAAAAGAGGAAGCGTAACATGTGGCTGCTGTAACCCTGTGACAGACCAGCTGTACATCAGCTTCTGGCCTTTCTGCTCTAAAGGTTATCTTAAAACACTTCAAATATGATTCCTCAAACTAAAAGCCTTCTTACTGCCATGTGCTGAAACACACCATAGATCTTTCTGCCACTGGCCTGCAGGGCAAACTAAACTATTTTCCAATTGCTCTTTTGGAGAGCAAGTAGAATGTTGGCAAGCTTTCTCTTCTGATGTGTTCCTTTTATGGATCAGTTTTAACTTTCTGCAAGTCAATTAGCAGTATCGGTACAAGCTGCTACAATGCTCTGGATATATTTTAGCAAGTCTGGGGTTCCAAACATTGAAGAGGGGAGGCTATCAGGATCCTGGGGCTTGGCAGGCTGCCACGCTTGTGTTTCCTTTCCTCAGCCCTTGGTTTCTGAGACTGAGGTATGCTGCATGCTTTGCCAAAGCAATCTGTTTCAACAGGCTAGGCAGAAACTTAGCTGTAACTTGTAACAAAGTTTGGACAGATCCTAGTTACATTATGGGCAGTCCTATCAATACATCCATGCGTTAATTTCAAGATCTAGAGGACGCTATTTTTCACTATTTATTACTGCTCTTAGTGTACCTTGGACACTGCTAGGCGAAGACTGAGTTAGGAGCTGCTGATAAATCCCTAGAGGCTTGTGCTAATATTGGTGATAGATTGAAGAATTAAAATTTCTCCTGTTGCTGAAATATTTTTCCTATTTTACAATGTGGTGTGCTTTTGTATGAAACTCCTGACTAGTCTCTCCCTAGCAAAAATGAAAAAGGAAGATACAATGGTTTTGCAATTTGCACTCCAAGCTCTTATGTCTTTTCTGGTCGTTTAGGCTATTCTGTTTCCAAGGCCTTCCCCAGTTGGAAAACAAGACCAAGAAGAGAAGTAATCTTAGTCTTGGTGATTTTTGGTTGAGCTATGCTTAGCCAGGGTGAGAGTAACAGTTGAGACTCCTATAGAACTTGAAATCTCAGTTAAGTGTTAATCATTAAAATAAAGGGGATTTTAGTATCCATAAGGGTTGTTTCATGGTCGTAAAACTGCTGAAGTCCTTGACCTGGGAATGTGTTGTCTACATCTATACTCCTGAATATTTTGAAATACCTGAGGATGTTCACAGTTTTAGACAGAAATTATTAGTTAGAGAACTAGGTTGTAGACGGCTTCTATATAGTCACAGTGTGTATTCCCTAAAGCACTTTACTGAAGTGTGTAACAAAGTATCTGAGCATGTGATAGTCATTCCCTTTTAACTCATCAGCTCAACTGTCTTCTGGCCTTCAACAGCTCATGCAGATAATTTCGTCTGCTGGTCTGTGCAGACAAACAGCTTCAGATCTCTTGAAGAGATCTAAATCTTATGGTAAGTAATGTTACATGTGACTTTCCTGCAAGCAATATGGTGCTGGCATTCTAAATTGATTTTGATGCATTTAAAAAGCCTTCTGAATTAAAAGTCTAACCCTTAAGCATAGTAAGGTATGTTATTTTTCACTAGATCAAAGCTTGTATTTCACAGTTCATCATAGAAAGCTTTCCTGAAAGAGCTGGGTGCTGTAGTCTAAGGTTCTGTACGTAAATCAATAAGAAATAACCATGTGGCTCAGTCATTAGCTGAAGATTACAGATACTGCACTGGCTTCTGGTGTGATTGTAGCCAAAATGATGGATGTTGTGCTGTGTATTGCAATGCATCAGGTTCCCGAGTGACTTCAATTTCTTGTGCTAGCTGAGGTTTTTTTTAATGACTAGATAATTCTATCAAATAGAGCATGTCAATGTTACACTGTCATTGCTTTCCTTTCTGCTGAAAGTAGCTTTCTTGTAGTAAGGTGCAGCAGAATCAAAGGGGAGGGGGTGTGAAATACTGAAGGGGGAAGAAGGGTACTGTTGTGCCTAGACTTCTGTATTCCAGAGATACTCGGGCATTTTAGTTTTTGGACACAGGTTGTAGCTTCTTGAATAATGGAGATGAAAAAGCATGGGAGTACGACTGATCAGTCACTGTCAAATTATCTCTGTTGCAGCCTGAAGTATTCTGAAAGAAGCTGAACAGATTACGTGCATGTTCATACAGGAGCAAAACTTCTAAACCTTTGCTGCCCTTAGGCATTACTCTTTTTTTTATCTTGACATGTGGTATTATGATAAATATCTCTTCCTGGATATATTCTGAAAGTGTTATAACCAGGTTAACCCCCTTGATCAAAGGATGTAAATAATTTGTGAAATAAACAGGAGATAGGAATGAGTCATTGTAGTAAAGAGATACAAACTAAAGGAATCCTAATGATAGGGAAGTGCTTTTAAAGACTATTTCAATACACTAGAAATTGCTACTTGATAAGCATGCCCCTTTAGTGAGTGTTCTGCACTGACCACAACACAATGTAAGAGGTGAATATAGCATATTGATGAAACTCAGCCAAATGTCATTGAAAGAACACTTCAAGGATTTTCTATATCAAAATATTTTGATCTGATCTAATAAGACCGGCAACTGAGTAGTGTTAGCTGCTGCCTTATGATCACATTGGCTATCACTGTCACTCACATCAGCCTGTATGATCATGCAACTTGCTGGAGGGCAGTGGTGGTAAAAGTCATAGATGACCGCTTGAGCTTGGCTGCTCCTGAAGAATGTCACTAATGACAACAAGTAGACAAATTTGTTTTAAAAGCTTAGGCTGGGTAATTCTGCATTAAGTTTGGTGTAATAGCACCCTTCTTCCAGGACTCTAATAGAATTTATTTCTAAAATTGTTTATTAAAACTAAAGAAGACTTTAACTCGAAGAGTGTGGCTATGAAATTGGCCAGACAGAAGAAGAATGATTGTACTTTGGTATTCTAAACATGCTCTAAGCAAGCTTTCAGGAGTCAAATAATAAGACTTGTAGCATGCAAATTTGTTACTAAACTCTTGTATGTCTCCATGAAAAGATCTGATCTCTAACTTGTTAGAAGTATATACCAGTCCCCAAGAAGATGGAGAAAGCAGATGAAGTATTTTACTCAAATACCAAGTTGAGGAAGAGCTTCCTATGAAGAAAAATGAGTCCTAGATATGTGAGTTCATGTTAAGCTATTAACTTATTTACAAAGTTAACTTGCTCTCATGAGAAGAGAAATGCAGCCATGAGAAATGGGGAAGTGAGTGCAGGAAACCATGGATGTAGGAGAAGGAGGAGGATATTCTAACATTTTCTTCACACTAGGGAAGAAAACTTAAATGGAAATGAGCAATTGCAGGAGCGATGCTGCACCTGACAATGTTTTCTGTCCCAATGGAATAAGATCTATCTCCTCAGGAAAGGTGGAGTTCTTGGTAGCAATGCTTCTTCTGTGGAACATAGCTTGTGTATTTTGGTGGCTGAGTTTCAAAGGCATCCGGGCTGTTCCAGTATGTAGGATAGCGTACTTACATGTGGAAAACTTTATTTCAAGCAGCTGTATATTTCATTTTTTCCTCAGTCAGTATTTGTGCTACTGACATGTTAGATGACTGCTGAGTTGCTTCTATGTACCAGGTCATTAACTTGATTCTTGCATTATGGACTGATTTTATTTTTTTAAATAAAAAAAAGCCTTAAGCAATGTTAATGCATCCCTGAAAGTCTATAGGGGGAACCAGAAAACTTTTTCCACTTCCTATATGTACATAGCTCTGTGCCATAGAGGCATGTACTTGGATTGTGTTTCCGAGGAATCTCACCTACATATGGAGAGCTTGGAGGCAGCACTGTCTAAAGGTAGTCAAGGTATTCTTGTAAGAACTTGTCCTTACCCACAACATATTTTGAAGCTTAATGTAGGGATTAAAATGGCAACTCCTGTAAAG